GCGGTCTCACAAGATTTCTTGGAAGATCAATAGTAATTCATTTGTACTTATTGAACAAATGAATTGAAGAATTCAGCTTTAAGTTTTAAAGTTTATAGACTTTCAAAGCCTATAAGTTAAAAAAAAAAATCAGCATAAGGGACATTATTTACTATCAATATGATGCGTCCCTTCTACTGCTGTTTCCTGCATTAGTTGAAATCTTCCTCTTCCGATTCACCCCTGCCACTGTAATCTTTTGAGGCAGTGGGGGTTAATAGAGCCAAGAGAACTGTCATATGCATTCATTAAGAGTGCCAATTATGCCTGGCCTTTCTCCACCTCCTCCATACATAGAATTTGTACTATAGCAGCTATGAATGAAATGCGATCTATGAATGGAGGAGGCAGACCTTTCATTCATTCCCCTGTCCTCCATTCATATAGTTCCATAGTTAATCTGGCTGAAAAAGAACAAAAGTCAATCCAGTTCATCCATTAAGAAAAAAAAGTTATAATCCTATACCCACAGTTGATCCAGAGGAATGCAAAAAAACCCAGCAAAGCATGATCCAATTTGCTCCTGCAGGGAAAAACATTCCTTCCTGATCCCCAGAGAGGCAATCGGATATTCCCTGGATCAACTTTACCTGTAAATGTTAGTATCCAGTTATATTCTGTGTATCTTAGAAAGAATCCAGGCCTTTTTTAAAGCAATCCACTGAGCTGGCCAGAACCAACTCTTGAGGGAGACTATTCCACATTTTCACAGCTCTCACTGTGAAGAAACCTTTCCGTGTTTGGAGATTACATTTTTTTTCCTCCAGACATAAAGAGTGCCCCCTTGTCCTCTGTGATGACCTCAGGGTAAATAGCTCTACACCAAGTTCATTATATGAACCACTGATGTATTCCTACATGTTGATCATATCGCCCCTTAATCTCCTCTTCTCAAAAGAGAATAAATTCAGTTCCTCTTTCCTCATAGCTGATCTCCTCCATGCCTCTTATCAGTTTGGTTGCCTTTCTCTGTACTTTCTCCAGTTCCCCAATGTTCTTTTTGTGAATTGGTGCCCAAAACTGAATTGCATATTCCAGATGAGGTTTTACTAATGATTTGTACAGGGGTAATATGATATCTCTCTCTCTCTGGAGTCTATACCTCTTTTAATACAAGAGAGGATTTTGCTCGCTTTATAAAAACCGCAGTTTGGCATTGCATGCCATTATTAAGCTTGTGATGTACCAGAACTCCCAGATATTTTTCCACGATTGATTCCCCCAGTTGTATTAATAGCTTTTTCTTTTTTAAAGCTCTAATACAGCTAGTGCATTTACCTAATCTATTTTAGTGATGAGTTGCTACATGAAGGCTAACATTTGAAATGTGGATTACAGTGGGCCTACCTACTCAGTGATCAGTAGAGGGAACTACCTGGATGACACCAATATTGTGATCTTAACTTGCTGTCCAAATGGTGGAGAAAAGGTGAGGAGTGGAATGGCACCCATATAATTGTTGCCCTTCCTAATTTACAAAGTCATATAAAGTATGAGGATTGCTTTATATTTTTAGCAGGTAAACTGTTTCTTATGTGTATATACAGTATTTCTGCTTAGCTATAGTTCTCCTTTAGAAGTCAGCTGAATGTGTCCTGGAAGCACTTCAGCTGGGTTCAGGGGGCAGATTTGCATCTTGTACTAAGTTTATGATAAAAGATTAGAGCTTTAGCAACAAAAATACCACATATAAGGCCTAATACACACAGGGCATCAAAAACACAGTTTTTACAGCTGTTGGACTTTTTTTATACCTCTAAAAGCCCCTCCATGTTAGCCTATGTGTCTATGCGTTTATGGGTGTTTAAAGGCAGGACTGTTTAGAGACAGAAAAAAGAAAACCATGACTTGTGCGTTCAGAAGAGCAGCGTTTAGGTGGAAAAAGCGCAAAACGTAACTCATATTAACGCTGGACACATTTGAGCACGCTTGTGCATTTACGTGTTAATGCATTCTAATGGTCAGGATAAATTTTTATTCTGGCCAAAAGAATTTATGAACACCAAAAGTATGAATGCGCATGAACGTGCATACAAAACCCTACTTTAGGCTCGTTTTTAAAGCTGTCTTTTCCTTTCCCAGAGCAAAGGCGTCCAGGGGAAGAAAAAAAAGTCCTGTATGCATATGGCCTAAAACTGATGATAGCTAGTGGTAGATGTCCACATTCAGCTAGGCTCGTTCTGTGATATTGAAGCCATTTTGCATCTTATCCAAACAGCTTTTTTAGATTCTAAGTACTGATTTACTGACTAATTGTAAACGGGATACAGTATATATTTATATACATAATGATTTGCAGTAACCTGTTTGAGGTAAATAGGTCCTTTATACTGCCTGTTTCTCAGAACTAGAACCCTGCCTGCATTACCAATAATTCTACTTGTGTTTACCAATCATTATGCTTGCATTGATTTGCCAACAGGCTATGCTTGAGTACCAACCTAGAAGCAGCACCCAACATGCATCTTTAGTATCCTAGAGCCTTAGAATCAATTTACAGTTTTGTTAAGCAGAGCTCTGGGGAGCTAAATTATCCTCTTCTAAATTGCATTACCAGTAGCTGGCATGCGTCATCCCTGCCTTAATGCTGATTGGCTGTTGCTGTCTTTAAATTAGAACCTAGTAGTTGGCATACAGTGCACACTTCAGCTTCTTAAGGGGGGATATGATCAACATGTATAAATACATCATTGGTTCATATAGTGAACTCGGTGTAGAGTTATTCACCCTGAGGTCATCACAGAGGACATCACAAGGGGGCACTCTTTACATCTGGAGGAAAATAAATGTAATCTCCAAACACGGAAAGGTTTCTTCACAGTAAGAGCTGTGAAAATGTGGAATAGACTCCCGCAGAGTTGGTTCTGGCCAGCTCAGTCGATTGCTTTAAAAAAGGCCTGGATTGTTTCCTAGATACACAGAATATAACTGGATACTAACATTTATAGGTAAAGTTGATACAGGGAATATCCGATTGCCTCTCGTGGGATCTGGAAGGATTTTTTTTTCCCCAGCAGGAGAAAATTGTTTCATGCTTTACTGGGTTTTTTTGCCTTCCTCTGGATCAAATGTGGGTATAGGATTATAACTTTTTTTTTTGTATGGTTGAACTGGATGAACTTTTGTCTTTTTTCAGCCAGACTAACTATGTAACTATGTAATACTATAAGAAGCTGCAGTAGATTACAGCAGGAGGGACAGATAAACCAACTGAAGGTGAAACAGGAAGGCGCTTCTAAGTGCAGTATTCCAGGTCAACTTTAATAGAAAGCGGTTAAAAACAGTTACAATGTGGTAGTAAAAACAGGCTCTAATGTAGTCTGTCAGTAGCAGGGCTCTTTCCTCTAAGTGATGGAGCCACTGTGCCAGCCAGCAGCTGCAGGGGGAGCTTGAGGAGAGGTGTTAAAGATGGCCACCACTCTGTTCAGACCGCTGGAGCGCATGCTGGAACGCACGCTGTCCGCAGACCACTGCACTGGAATACTGCACTTAGAAGCGCCTTCCTGTTTCACCTTCTTCTGCACAGAGTTTGTCTCCACTCTTTAGAAGTGCTGCTCAGTACCGGTTTCCTTACACATCATCCATCATCATCTGCCATCCATCATCATCTACCACAGCATCGTCCACTGACGCGCCCTGCTACCCACCTTACAGATAAACCAACTGCTTAAGTTACATTTTAACAAAGTCTTAAAGTGCATTTCCACTTTACAGTCAAATCTGAGAAAATCTCACTATATGTTTGTTATGCGTTTTAATTCAAATAGCATACCTAATTTCCTTTTTTAATTTTTTTAAAATTTATTAGGTTTTAGATGTTTCTTAGAAGACCGCATTGGCTGTCTGTAAGCATTTCTGAACAATGTTAGAGGAAGTCTGTCTTAAGGACAGGATGAGTCTCTTCTCATTATTGTGCAATGCAAGAAGCCCAGCTTCTAAATATTTACTTGTTTGTTAGGACAGACAACGGTCAAATCCAGTTTGCAACTAATAATGAGATCTGCCAGCATAGTACAGACAGGGTTAATTATGGCAAACTCCCCATCCCCTTTATAAAATAAGAAGTATGATTTTTCAGTGCTGGGGTTATCAGTTATGCTATGAGAATCAGAACATACAACAAATATAAAGTAGGCATAATGCCAATTTGCCTGCAAAAGTGAAAAAACATTTTAAAGCAAGTGTAATGCTGTGTGCTGACCATACACTAGGTAGCTGTGCTGCAACATCAATTAATTATGTTAACATCATAACTCACCATCAGCTCCAATTTTCCCATCTCCGTCATGGTCCGCGGCAGCCATAAATTCTCTGGTTTCTGAGGATGTTAGTTCACGGCAGCTTGGATCAAAACGCTGAAGGAAATACCTAAGCAAGAAAAAGGCACATATTATAAATTGGCTAAGTCTCATTTTGCCTCTTTCATGGCAATAGGATCTACAGTATGGCTGATTTGCACTGGTGTAAGGATGAGCCTGATAAAGGTCTTATTGTGCTCAGAACTGAGCTTTCTGGAAGACATTCTGTATTTGGGGCCATCATTTGAGAAGATGCAGAGGCACCAGCTGATCCAGTTTACTGAGAAATTATATTGGTATATTGAGTCATCATATAGGTCATATTCAGGGGCGGACTAACCATTTGGAAACTTGGGCACTGACCGAGGGCCCGGGGTCAGTAGGGGGCCCCATGAGATACCCCTGGTACCTTTTTCATAGGCTTTTTTAAGTTTGGGCAAGGACACAGGGGCCCCATGATCCCCTATTGCCCGGGGGCCCCATGAGTTGTCAGTCTGCCCCAGGTCATATTTCATGTAGTAGCACCATTGTATGAGAGAGCAGTTATACACTACCATTGTATAATGGAAATTTTAAACTCAAGGCAATGGCAGTAGTCTTGATTTTACAAGAGGGTTCCAGGGGAAGCTTTTGGCAAAACACACACTGGAGCACATGTTCCAGGTATAAGCAGGGTGTGTGGGGTAAAGCTGTGCGAAGGGACATTTTCAGGCATCATTGCTTACGTGTGAAATCTGTGAATGATCACAGAGCAGGGGCGGACTGACAACTCATGGGGCCCCCGGGCAATAGGAGATCATGTGGCCCCTGTGTCCTCACCCACACTCAAAAAACACCCAAAAAAAGCCTATGAAAGGTACTAGGGGCATCTCGTGGGGCCCCCTAATGACCCTGGGCCCTCGGGCAGTGCCCGAGTACCCTAATGGTCAGTCCGCCCCATCACAGAGATCACATGGTACAAGACTATTCACAACAGCCTTGTACCATGTGACAAGCTGTGACCAATGTGTTATAGCTTGCGTACATCTATTGATGTGATCACTGATTGGCCAATCAGTGATCACATGATCGGGACCTCACACAGAGGTGAGGTACAGCAATCGGTGATCGCGGTGCCGCGCGCTCCTCGGGAGCACGCACAATCCAAAATGGCAGGCACCGTTTATGAACGGCAACCCACCCCTGCACTGCCACCACTGTTTATATAACGGCCGGACGGGAAGTGGTTAACAGATGGCACACACTACACCCTTCCACTTTGGGCCCTCTAGAGCAGGGGTGTCAAACTGGCGGCCCTCCAGCTGTTGCGAAACTACAAGTCCCATCACGCCTCTGCCTTTGGGAGTCATGTTTGTATTTGTCAATCTTTCAATGTCTTATGGGACTTGTAGTTTGGCAACAGCTGGAGGGCCGCCATTTAGACACCCGTGCTCTAGAGGGACAGCTTTAAGGTGGAAGGGTGTAGTGTATGTTGTCTGTTGAATACACTTTGTTTGATCAAGTGATGTCCTTGGTGTGCAGCCCATTGTTTGGTGTCCATTGTGTATGTTTTTACATTTGTACATGTTTTTTCTTCCATATTTTTATTCTGGTATTAAATAAGCAGATTGTAGACTTGCTATTAGAAAGTATAAAATATTAGTAACTTTAATCAAGCATTTCCACTGCTTAGAGCCCTAATCCATGCTATTTTTTTTTTACATGTTCTCTTGGATTAAAAAAAAATAGCTCTTCTTGCAATACTTACCTTTAATCCAGAGTTGTCTCCCAGGGTACCTCTTGTTCATCAAAGATGTCTTCCGGGTAGAATGATGGCCAGGATCACTCAAAACTGATGAAACACTGTGAGTGTCATCAGTTACCCCACCCCCATTGCACAGTGTCCTGCACTCACTGTGTATTAATGCAGAGAGCAGCACTGGCGACTCCACATAAAGGCCAGTGTCTGCATCACTCAGAGCTGCCAGTAAAAGACCAAAGAAATAAATTTCGGCCAAAATGTATTTTAATTAATTAGTTTACGTGAAAGTTATAGAGTCTACAAATGGTGGTATATATACTTGAATTTGTTTTTTTTATACCAGTAATGGCGGCAATCACTTATAACGGCAGGCATTCCCAGTGACACTAATACAGTGATCAGTGCTAATAAAAAACACTGACACTGAAATGACACTGGGCAGGAAGCGGTTAACATCTGGGGTGATCAAAAGGTTAACTGTGTGCTGTGTGTGTGCTTTACTAGGAAGGCATGCTGTTTTGTATAGCAGAGCAATGCAAAGCAGTATGCTGAAGCTGACAGGGGAGAGAAATGTATTGTTTACATACAGACCTCTCCCCTGTCAGTGATAGTCGCCGATCACCGGGAATGTCCGGCCAGGACCCGGTGATTGACAGCTGTAGCTGCCAATGGCAAGGCAGTCTGTGGGGCATCCTAAAACGGAAGGTGGAGGAGCGCAAGATCTCTAACATCCACCAGCTCCGGGATGTCGTCATGGAGGAGTGGAAGAGGACTCCAGTGGCAACCTGTAAAGCTCTGGTGAACTCCATGCCCAAGAGGGTTAAGGCAGTGCTGGAAAATAATGGTGGCCACACAAAATATTTACACTGGGCCCAATTTGGACATTTTCACTTAGGGGTGTACTCACTTTTGTTGCCAGCGGTTTAGACATTAATTGTGTGTTGAGTTATTTTGAGGAGACAGAAAATTTACAGTTATATAAGCTGTACACTCACTACATCACATTGTAGCAAAGTGTCATTTCTTCAGTGTTGTCACATGAAAAGATAGAATAAAATATTTACACAAATGTGAAGGGTGGACTCACTTCTGTGAGATACTGTATATACATGTGAGTTTGAGCAGTCCTGCCACCCTGTAGCAGTATTTGTACTATAGGGTGGCCGGGAAGTGGTTAAAGTGGTTGTAAACCCTTACATATACCCAGTGAAGTGACTGGCCTCAGGTGATACACAGAGAAGGTGTCAGGAAAACTTGTCAGAAGTGCAGATTATTATTATTATTATTATTATTATTATTATACAATATTTATATAGCGCTAAAAGGTTTGCTCAGCGCTGTACATTATAGTGGGGGACAGTACATGAGACAATACAGTAACAAAACAAAACACGAGGGGGTCAACGGCCCTGCTCTTTCGAGCTTACTATCTAGGAGGGAGAGGATAGTGGTACAGGAGGAAGTGGCTTTGGGGGATGGAGTGTGTAGGAGGAATGGAGGAGATCGGCTGTTAGGTGAGGGCGGGGTAGGTTTCCCTGAAGAGATGGGTTTTCAGGGTGCGCCTAAAGGTGAGGAGGGTAGGTGACAGTCTGATGGATTGGGGTAGTGAGTTCCAGAGGATGGGGGAAGTCCTGGAGAAGTCCTGCAGTTGGGCGTGGGAGGTGGAGACCAGATAGCAGAGGAACAAGGCAGCAGACAGAAATATCACTTAGAGTTCTGGAATGAGACAAGTACACACTATAGAGGGATATGCTTTGTTCAAATTTCATGTCTGAGGTTTACAACCACTTTAAACTATTTTTTGCACTGACTGATAATTAGAACCAGTTAGCCAGTAACTGTCTTATTCTATCTTCACATCATAGTTGTGCATCAGAATAGATCTCAGTATGTTATCTTAATATGTATGATGAATCATATTTAAAACGTTGTACTACTCAAATACTGTATCTACTATTTGTACTTATATACCTTCAAAACTCAATCAAACTTCTGTGAAACAAATAAATAAATGATAATACTATAATGTCATCTTACTTGAGCTCTTCCTGTTCAATAAATCCACTCTGATCGTTATCTAAAACCAGGAAGGCATCTTTCACTTGGCTGGCTGATTTTTTAGTCAGTCCACAAGTTTGGAAAAATTTCTTGTAATTGAAGGTGTCAGGAGCTAAAATAAAATGCAGAATTATGTAAGCTTTACAGTAGATCCAAACAAATATATACAAGATCAAACTTATAATTATGCTTATACATAGGTCCATTTCTAGGGATGTAATAATGTGGAGAGCATTTGCTTCCACTGCTTCCTTTTTATTGAACAAGAAACTTGGTTTTATCTCTCATATTCAACTGAGTCTTCTACTGTTTTTGCCTTCCCACATCCAATTGTCAGCAAATGATGAGCTATACATGCAGGTCAATAATATAAAAGTGTAAGAAGTGAGCGCTGACCTGTCAGCAGCTACGCACTCAAGGTAACCAACAAAAACCTTAATGAAATAAATAAATACAACAGTGCAGCGCTAAAATGATGATTAAAATTATAACTATGAGTGGAATAAAAAAGCAATAAAACATGAGCGTATAATTAAAACATATAAATGAAGATACGTATGATAAATTTCAATCCTATACAATGTAAAAATTACATAGGGCAAAGTGATCCATAGTGGTGACTAAATAGTGCTCTTAATGTCCCCAAAGATTCAATCGGTGCTTGTGCTTGCGATAGCGGAAGAAATGCGCACTCACCGGACGCGCAATAATAATGCGCGTTTAAATAAATTATCCTGATGTCATCAAGGTAATCATCTGGGCCTGTAGGTGGAAAAAGGCTCCCTCTCAAGGTGAATGGGTCCTGGAACTTTAGATGTTGTTGATCCAGGGGTGTCCAGAGTTCCCCTTAAGGGATTTTGTGTCACTGACATCCCCAGTGACACCAATTCAGTGATCAGTGCTAAAAAAACAGCACTGACACTCTACTAATGACACTGGGCAGGAATGGGTTAATGTGGGGAGCGAACAAATGGTTAATTGTGTGTAGGGGGCGGGGAGTGTGTGCTTCACTGTAAGCACACTGATCAGGATGAGAGCAGTGTGCCCAAGAAGACAGGGGGGAACACTGTAAACAAAACAGTCTTCCTTCCCATCAGTGATTGTCGATAATCACAGGGCGCTGGAGGGTAATCACCGTCTGGGACCCGGTGATTGACATCCGCAGCCGAGAATGGCAGCGCAAGCCCACTACCCAGAAATGCAAAACCAGGTATATATACGTGATTTTGCGCACACGTGCCGCCATGTAGCAGTATATCTGCTATATGGTGGTGGGTAAGCAATTAAATGTGTGTAGTAAAACAATTTAAAAAATCTACTTTCATCATAAATTTATGCCAAAATGTATTCTGCTACATGCCTTCGCTAATGAAAAATCCCAATATGTGTAAATTAATTGGTTTACGTGAAAGTTATAGCATTTAAATGGCAGTATAGATACTGCAATTTTGTTTTTTAACTAGTAATGGTGACAATCAGCAACTTATAGCGGGACTGCGGTGACACCAATACAGTGATCAGTGTTAATAAAAAGCACTGACACTGTACTAATGGCACTGGGGCAGGAAGGAGTTAACATGTGGGGCAATCAAAGGGTTAACTGTGTGCTGTGTGCTGTTTTACTACGTGGGCTGTGTCTGTGTTTCACTGTAAGCACACTGCTTTGTATGGCTGTGCTATACAGAGCCGTACAAAGCAGTATGCAGGAGCTAACAGGGGAGATATCTGTGTTGTTTATATACAGGTCTCTCGCCCCGTCGGAGATATACAGTAATCACCGGGTGCCAGCTAGTAATCACCGGTCGGGACCTGGTGATTGACAGCCCAGGCTGCGAATGGCGCACGCGCCCCCTACCCAGAAATGCAAAATCGCATATATATACAGTATATATATATATATATATATAGATGTATAGATATCTCTATATATAGATATCTATATAGATATCTATATATACGTGATTTTGCACACCCCTGCCGCCCTTGTAGCAGTATTTCTGCTATAGGGTGGAGGGGAAGCAGTTAATGACTTCACCTCCTGAATACCAGATCAAACACAGGTGAGCCATAAAAGGTAATCACTGTTAGAGAAAGAACAATGCACCTTAAAAATATCAATATATAAAAAACACAAAGA